TTTCCAGTCAATTATTATTAGTATTCATATCCATCTAATTGTGTAGTAATCACCTTTCATTCAATTTACCTCATCACAATATCATCATTAAATATAAAACCGAACATAGTTCATTGAAAACCAAAGTACACTGCGATATAGTTATCCTTATTATGTCACATTTAGTTTCATTGAGGTTAGTTATTCAGGTAGTTACTGAGACAAAAAGGTGATTTTGGTCAGTAATTATTCATTTTGAAGTTGAAGTTATTGTTTACCAATATAAGATTTGATTACAGTATTGGTTGCCTCTTCGATATTCATGTATGTATATTATTGGGAAATTTTAAGTGAAATAGTGATCGTCATTTGGTATTTTTGAGATGATTGAACATACTAATTTATCCTTGTTTGAACGTACCCACCCATCTGTCCCACTGAGCTACCAGTGTCTAGTTTCTACAGTTTCGAACTGGGCACTTAAAACACTTATTTTCTGTGGCCAACAACTTTTGAGATTCAAGACATCAAGTAAATCTCAGGCAGTAACATCAAGCCAAATTCAGGGGAAAATCTTTTGTTGTTCCATATCTTCTAACTATCCTCTGAACAGTTTAAAAAGGCTAACAAGTATCAAAAGTTGCTGAGGTGTCTACAGTTTTCTGGTTCGGAACAGTGTTTCAAGCTTTTGAGAAGCATCCTTTGCAATTTCAGAGACATGATTGTAACTCAACATATTGGTGTCTATTTCAACCCACAATGAACGTATCGAAGCAGAAAGCGGAATTGTCTATGCTGACATTTTTATATCCGGTTCGCAGACATTGCTTGGGTTTTCGTGAACCTAGTTAGTTTCACCCCAATTCGAAATCACTTCTAGATCCACATTAAGATATGCAACCTTCTGCTGCTGATGAAGATGTGCATCCGCAGCTGTTGTCTTGGAATTGAAATGGAATGATGAGACAAGTGTACTGTAGTCAGCAAAGCAATATATCGGATTCTTCGTTTTTTGATATACAATAGAAAGAGGATTGGAAATAATATGGATTCTTGGAGAACATCAGCGTTGTGTGATCTTTCAAGCCATAGCATCGACGTTTGACCAGCAAACCCTCATGATGACCCATTAAAATCAATACTCTCGTCAGGAAAAATACTAATTTATTGTATTTAAAAATTTCTATTTTCTGAAAACCAGCAAAAATCTGCATAAATTCCGGAGATAAAATTATTTGTTTCAATTCCATGGTCATGATTCATACTGCATTTCCATATTGCCTATCAAATTTTATCGTATATGACGTAAATAACTAAAATCATTTTGAATATCGAACGCTAATTCTCCGTACATCAGTTTCCATTTCAAAATTAATATTAATTATGAGCAGTTGACACACGTCCTTCCTTGCAAAAGCACTTTACCCAAACAATATCAAATTGTATTACGGTGATGGTCCCTGGATAGGTAACAAAAAATATTTGTTGAGTAGGCATAATTTCCAGATTTTTTGGTATTTTTTGACAAATTTTGTCTTGTATTAATGAATAATATTACAGTTTACACCTGATAAATCGAATACGGCTGTAGGCCAAGGGCAAATTGCTCTGTTTTGCTCAGTAGTTGTCGCTTGCGCCTTCATCGATATTTTAATTTGGAAGTTTGCTAATGATTTTGGTTACGATTTGGATGAATGATTTTGTTTCAGTTTGATTGACTCATTGGGATTACGATTTGATTTTATAACTCAGATAAGTTATTCTAAAAATTGTATTAGTTCATAATATCTTTTTTTCAGTATTTCGGACTGGAAATATTCTACATTTTGCTCCAATTTAAGATGCCGAAATATAAAAAGTTTATGGTCACCCCACATATTTTCTGAATTTGGTACGCGACGTTGAGGTAGATATTGAAGATATTAGAGGGTCTATCAGTTCTTCAAATTTTTGACAGTCAATTCTTAAGAGTCTACAAATAAAATTAGGCATAAATAATAGGTATCGGCTTTGGAAATGCTGGAAAAAGTATGAACATTAACTATCAAACGAATTCGTTTCCACAGATACTGGGCTTGATAAAATAACAAATACAAAAATAAAAGATAAACTCACAAAGTCCAGTCAAATACCTGATGAAAAAGCACCTCAAGAAAAATTCGATGAATGCATGAACCATACAATTTTACNTTTCCACAAATACTGGGCTTGATAAAATGACAAATACAAAAATACAAGATAAACGTACCAAGTCCAGTCAAATTCCTGATGAAAAAGAATCTCAAGAAAAATTCGATGAATGCATGAACCATACAATTTTACTCATCGTAAAAAATCTTTTGACTTTATCATTTAAAGATCGCTAACGTAAAATGGTATATTACGATATTTATTTTGTGATCTGTTTCAGAAGAACTCATCTTCGAAGGAATATTAATGGGCCTGTTTTCGTAGAATATGCAATCATCGTGGGTCAGAAAATTCCGCTTCGAATTTAATAAAACAGAAAATATAAATATTTGTAGAGCCATCATCAGATTTGAAGATGAGCAAGAGAATGGTGGTTCTGAACAATTCTCGTACCAAGTGAGAGGTTTTCAACGAAAACTTCTGAATAAGTATCATTTGCAAAATACTCCTTTACACAAAAGGGAAGAATATATTCACAAAAGCGAAAAAGAATAATTGCAGAGTGGTAACTGGCAAGACATACGATCCTTATCAGTGTATCAAAGAGTCAAGTCAGAAGGTAAACCTAATTCTGATTTACACAAGGACCCTTATTTCGATCCAGTCTTACGTTCCATCGCAGATCCGGGGGAAATGAAATATATCCAATGACCATCAACTGATATCATGGTATACTTGTACAGCAAATCAGTTAGATATTTGGGTGTCCAAAGGTCAAAAAGCAACAGCATATGGAAGTGTTATGAAGGTCATCAAAACAGGTAGTGTGTATTATTATGCTTTAGTTGTGAATATGGCTGGAAATATTATTCCAATTGCGGAAATGATGAGTTTGTTGCTTGATGCTGCTACTATTGTTTGTTTTTTTTTTGGTCAAAATTCAAAAGATTTGTAACAGTATAAGTTCAAAGATCTTGGCCAGTATTTGGCGTCATTGTATGTCATTGGAGTTTTGCGAATATTAGAGGAATCTATTTGGGACTGAATGAAATGACTTTATTATCATAATTCCGAAATGTTGCTCACATTTTCTCAAGATGATGAGTTTTATTTTAGAAAGGAATTAGTGGCAATAGAAATATCACAAATTATAATGGAGATGATTGAAGTTCTAATAGATTCCACGTCCTTAAACGAACTGAGTTTTTTTTTTCAATGAAATGTGTATCATTCACGGAAGCCAAAGAAGGTCGGAAAAAGTAGAAGAAGCGTTGAAATATTCTTGGAAAAATATTGAAGACTTACATTCCATGACAATGGAATGTGATATGTCAGACGATGCGTTGGTAAGTGGTGCATATAAAAAATCACCTTTTCATCAATATTTTACCGAGGTTCATAAGAAAACTATGGAAAACAATGATTCCGTGGATGATGAATCTGAAAACGATTCATTCAATAATCCACTAGTACATAAAACTTTGTTGGATTATATTCTTAAACATTATATGTCATTCGTTTCTCTGTGGACAGGTATCAGGAACACGTTTCTGACAAAAATTAAAGAAGAGAGAAGACACAGTGATGCAAATGTCGAAGGTGGGTGAGACTATTGAAACATTACGTTTTAAAGGGTGAAATGAACATGAAAGTAGAAAGATTTGTAGAGAAAGTCCGCAAAAAAAATCAAACTCGATTTTTATACTTCTCAAATAAATTTAGGGAAACTCCTAAAAATTTTCGTGATGGAAAAAGAATTAGACGACTGAAACAAATGGTAGATCGACTGTTAGAT